ATCCGCATCGCCTACAGAACGGACGGTCACCTGCTGAACCAACGGCGGATGCAATTCCAATCGCGCGTATCCACAGCCACCGTGCACGAACTCCTCTTCGCCGACGACTGCGCCCTGAACACCACCTCGGAAGAGGAGAGGCAACGGAGCATGGACCTGTTCTCCGCCGCCTGCGAGAACTTCGGTCTGGTCATTAACACGCAGAAGACGCTGGTGATGCACCAACCGCCACCCAACTCAGCCACAGTCCCCAACGCGCCGCCACAAATCAGCGTGAACGGAACCCAACTACAAGTGGTGGAGAACTTCCCGTACCTGGGCAGTACCCTCTCCCGCAACACCAAGATCGACGACGAAGTGGCCAACAGGATCTCGAAAGCCAGTCAAGCCTTCGGTCGCCTCCAAAGCACAGTTTGGAATCGCCACGGACTTCAGCTGAGCACGAAGCGGAAGATGTACAAGGCCGTCATCCTGCCGACGCTACTGCATGGAGCGGAGACTTGGACGGTGTACGCAAAGCTGGCACGTCGTCTGAACCACTTTCACCTCTGTTGTCTCCGTCGCATCCTGAGGCTGAACTGGCAGGATCGAATCCCCGACACTGACGTGCTGGAACGGACGGGAATCCTCAGCATCTACGCCATACTTAGGCAAATTCAGCTGCGCTGGAGCGGCCACCTGGTGCGCATGGACGACGAGCGACTACCCAAACGACTCTTCTACGGAGACGTCGCGACGGGTTCTCGCCGTCAAGGAGGCCAGATTCGCCGTTACATTGATACCATGAAGTCCTCCCTGAAATGCCTGCAAATCAACCCCACCAACTGGGAGGAGCTCGCACTCGATCAACCGACCTGCATGAGGAAAGTGAAGACGGGCGCTGCGATCTACGAGGCCAACCGCATCGCTGCCGCCAAAGCGAAACGTGAAGCCCGCAAATCACAACTTCGCCCAATACGCAACGCCGCCGCACAACCGCTTCCAATGTGTCCTCGATGTCAACGGACATTCCGGGCTAGAATCGGACTTGTTGGACATGTTCGGATCAACTGCGCCTCTCGAACTGCACCAACCATTGGCCCCCCACCCGCCTCTTCCTCCTCTCCACCGCCAACTAACTGACAATTATTCTGAACCACCACTTCCATCCTCCTCCTCCCCCGCCACCACTGCCTCAACGGCGGCCGCTCAGGCAGCCGTCTCGCACATCAACAACCGCGACACAACAACCGGCACCACCCCCGCCTCACCCG